GTGGTACTTTAAATAAAATCTTATTGTAAAATTGAGGCTGAGAATCGTAAATGTCTGCAGTCAATTTATGAGACAGGTAATATCTTGGATATTGATGATTCTGATCCATACCTTGATGACCATTTTGATATGTCTGATGAGACAAATAATAGAAATGGCATTGAATCAACCAATCTAATTGATACTAAAACTCACAACATATTAATTATGCTAGTCGCAGTGTAAACAATTCCTATAATAATGTTCTAAATAAAATAGGAAAACAATCTTTTAAACTCTTTAATAATGAATGGGATATAATTGATGGGCTACTACACAGTAAATCTATTCCGAGAGCCTGTGGAATTTCTTTCTTCCCTGGGATCGACAATAAATTTAGGGTTATTATTTCGCAGTGAAATAGAAACCCATATACAAATCAATAGATCTGATTGCTCAGATATTATTTGCTTAAAAGAAAATATGAAAATGAAGCTTGACCATAGGTTTCCCATTACTGAACTTAAAGTTATTATTTTTATTAATAAAAGTATATTTTAAACATTAGATATTAGCCACTCCACTTGATCCCAGATTTCAAAATCTTAAAATTGTTTTAGAATATTTAATTTAGAATTCTACGACATCATTGCAATTTTTAACTAGACATTTAGAACTTTTAGAATATGATAGAAATGCACAAAGTGAGATTCAAGTTGAAGATAATGGGCAAACATACAGTTCTTATATAGCTAAAATAGCTCATAAAATTCCCGTCCAAGCAACGATTACAACAACGTTAGTAATCCAAAACAAGAATGTCATATTTTGCTCAGCCAACATCATATCCCAGAAAAGGATGTATTAATCTTTTGGAAGAAAAGCGACTGGAACTTTCTAGGCTTGCTAACTTAGAAGGTTCTTTGTATACCTGCAACCAGTACACCCATCGAAAGAATTTTTTCCATTGCTGGATTAATACTCAATGCAAAAAGGACTTCTTTATACAGTTATAATTTTGTTAAATTTGAATTCCGATTTATTATATGTCATACTTTATATTTTATTTGCATTTAAATTTATATTTCAATTTGTTATAATAAAAATCAATAGGATATCTAGACCTGTGCGCCGGCCGGCCTAGTTACGCCGAAAACGCCGCCGTTTAAGAAAATCACGCCGGCGCAAAAAGTACTTTCATATTTTATACCTTTTTATTCTAATAATTGGTCAACATCACTATTGTATTTTTTTTTAATGTCAATCAGGATTTTGATGAATTTTTATTTTCTATTTTAAAATCAATTGACGTCATTATAGATTCAATCAATCAAAAATCTAAAATTCTAAAAGTTACAATAATTTTACATATTTTTAAAATGGATGCATCTACATTTAATAAATAATTTTAATATCCTACCTAACTCTGGAAAATAAAAAATCCATAGTCTGGAAATTTTTTGGATACTTACACTTAAAAAGAGATAACAAAACAATTTCCATAAATTCTGACAAATTTTACTGCATATGTTGCTTAGAAAAGGCTATTAAAGACGATGATGATTCAAATAAGCCATTTTCACAGTATATTTTTTTAAAATATTATTTTTTCATGTATAGCCAAAATCTTTACTAAATTAAAATATATTTTTTGTAAAATATAATCTAGCTATAAAATTCAAAACTTTTCAATAAACATTAGCACAGGAAATTTGTTAAAACACTTGACTTCTGAACATAATATTAAAGCAGATACTTCATCAAAATCGCAAGATTTAAAAAAATAATACATATCCAAACCAAAATTCCAGACAAATTCTAAAACCTCTAAAAAATGGCTTCTGCGAGGAATTATGTGTTATTATGTTGTGCTGACGACTTATTACCTATTCAATCAATTGATAATATAGGGATGAAAGATTTTTTGAAGGTATCAAATTTATAGATATATTATTTATTATAATAATAATAGATCTACCTTTATGTCTTTTTTGTTCTATTGAAATAGCAATGGCTACTGAGGAAGATTTATAATAGTTGAATTTTATAGCCATACTTACAATATTATTACACATTGATTTAAATAATATTGGATAATTGTTTATACATTTGTTTTAATCATCTTTGTTTTTGAGCTTTGCAACCCAGAATAAATTTTTAACAAATTTATTTCTTCTTGAAAGTTCTCCCTAATTTGTTTAATATAAATTAGAGATATAATGATTTTCTGTTATAAATTTCAAAATACTTATTTTAGAAATATCAAGTTATCAATTCTAATTTTGATTTGCCAGACAGGACAACACTAAGCCGTACTGTTCTTAATGATGTTTACCTATCAATGAAAGCATATGTACAAGAAGAAATTAACTCAGGGCCAAAATTTTGCTCAATTACATTTGATAGGTGAACAGATCAATGCAGAAGAAGAAACTATATTACATTTACACTTCATTTAATAAATGATAATTTTGAAATAATTTACTTTACTTTAGCAACACATTATATAACCCAAAAACACACAGCTGAGACTATTCTAACTGAGATTGATAAAATAGAAGAGGAATTTAATTTAAAAAAGAAAAAAATACAAATGGTCACAGATGCTGGGCCTTATGTTAGAAAAGGTGTGATTAGGTGAATATGAACACCACTTATGTTTGGGTCATGGTTTACACAATCTGGTTACAGTAGATTGTATTAAAAAGGTACCTTTTGTTGAAAATCTCATCAAAAGAATTAGAGAAATTATTACTGCTCTAAAATATACTGCAGAGGTTGAATTTGTATTCGAAGAAGATCAAAGAAAATGCTTAAGTACAATAGATTTAACATCCGACATGTTAGATCTTGACAGTACTGATCCATACCCGGATAACCGTTTTTAAATTGGCAATTCCAATGATAATAATAACAATAATTCCACGCATATGAAAACCTTAAAATTAAATGTCCCAACACGTTGGCATAGTATATTAATTATGCTAGAAAGCATATCTGGATTAAATAAGAATTTAATTAATAATGTTTTGAAAAGAATTGGGAAGCACTTTCTCAAATTATCAAACTATGAATCTGATCTGGTAGAAGAACTATGCATTTCTTTCAAAAATTAAAGAAACTGTCGAATTTCTTTCAGTACAAAAGGGGCCTACTTTAAACTTGGCGTTACTTTTTAGGTGAAATTGAAACACATTTAATAGTAAATGATAGTGATAGTTCTGAACATTTCACTTAAGGAAAATATGCTAAAAAATCTTGCGCTACTATTTCCGGTTTGTAATCTGCAAGTAATAATATATAAGTATATTCTTTTATTTCTTATTTAAAATTATCTAGGTATTGGCTTCTCTTTTAGATCCAAGATTTCAAAAATTAACAATTGTGTCAAAGTATTTAATAGAGCAAAATTGCTCAGCATCAGAATTTATAATAAAACATCTTAAACTTATAGAGAATGATGATAATCAGATAGTAAATATAGCTAATGAGGATCAAGAGGAATTATTAAATTCAAGTTATTTGACAAAATTAGCAAATAAACATTCAACAAATATAAATTATGATTCCAAGTTAGGTGACTTAGAACAAGAATGCCACAGTTTTCTTGGAAAACGATATTCACAAGATGTGGACGTTCTAAAATTTTGGAGAGAAAAGAAGAGTGAACTTCCCAATCTTTCCAAGCTTGCCAAAAAAATTCTTTGCATTCCGGCGACCAGCACACCTAGTGAAAGAGTTTTCTCAACCGCTGGATAGACGTTAAATTCAAGGAGATCAACATTATGTCCCGAAAATTTAAATAAAATAATTTTTATACATATAATAAAATTACGAAATCGATTTTGGATTTATAATGAGTTTTCTATTAAATAAATATTAAAAATTATGCTGAGATATCTGTAGAGTAGTGTTATTTGTTTTTTTTAAAAAAATTATTAAGCAATTAAAAACATTTATGTTATAAAAATTTATAACTGCGCCGATTTACGCCAATTTTGTTGACGGCGGCTAAAAATCGGCGCAACTCCGGCCGTCGATTAGATTTTTGAAAATTGCGCCGGCACAGGTCTAGATATTATTAATATGTGTTGTTTATGTGACTCAGATCTGAGTAAAAATGCAATTAAATTTAAATTGGAGGCCCAAATAAATTATAAAAAATGTAACATTAATTTATAAATCAAATTCATTAAAAACTTTTTTAATAAATATCGCGCCGCCGCCGACAATTTAATAAACGCCGATAAAAAATTGAAAAATACCGCCGCCGTCGATTGAGACATCGGCGCACAGGTCTAATATATATATAAAATAAAATAATATTGAAAAGTTAGAGGTTAAGTGTTGCTCACCAAAACATCAAAGGATCATTGTAATCAGCTGAGTTGCCATAATATCATTCTATAATTTGAATTATTGTGTTTAAAAAAACTACCTTAACCTTATTATATGGGATCAGATAGTTTCATTACAGTATTTTGGTCTATAGGTAAATCCTTAATTCAGAACTTCCTGTAAGCCTCTTCCTTTCCAATAAAAGTCAATTCGAATCCGGTTGATATACATTATCTCTTCCCTTGGACATATTTGGGGGGGGGGGCAAAATCAGAGCCGGAAACAGGTAGAATGGCGACCAATTACAATATAAACCGATGTTGTTGTTAAAGAACAGGCAATTCCGTTGAATTATTATACAGGGATCACAACGGCGATCTAATGGAGCCACAGCCAATATGAGGTTATCGCTATAATTTGGTGACTGTTGTAGGGACAGAAAATTAAAGTTGATAAGGGTTAGTTAAGGAAATGATTACTCAACAGAGGATATTATTATTAGAGTATAATAGCCAGGTCTATAATTTTTTGAGAGAAATTTAACAAAGCCCATTTCTTCGAATTCTCTAAATTGGTGTCCAATCAAAAAATAAATAATATTCGAAACAGAGGCATATTAAATATCTTAAATTTACAAAAAATTAATTATTTTTATTTTAAAATAATAACAAATATCTTCAAACCCTTTTATTGAGGCCGTGGGAACTGTCAGTGCCCGTCATCTCGATAGGAGTCATATCTCGGCGAAATATCCCGTTGAGATTGGCAGTACCTTGACCGTTAGTTGGGCCGTTAACGGAACCATTAGCTCGAGGGATGACGATGGCATCACGGAATGGTGGTAACTCAGATAATTGGTCGGCTTCGTTTGCAATGGGGAAGGCGGCAGAATCCATCGAAAAAGCGGGGCGTAAGTGAACTGTGGTAGGAATATGGAGTTGCCGAGGGGAAGGGGGAGTAGTATAAGATAGGTATAAGCTCAAGCTTGGTTCTGTAAGTCCGTCGTTAGCCGGGACATGTGTGGGACTAGCATCCTTTATTCTTACCAACGGAAGTCGTGAGTTGTTGACTTTGATTCCATTATTATGGTTCAATGAATTTGAGAGCAGAAGTTCACTGTCAGAGTAATTATAAGGCAGACTGAGGCCCCGTGTAGGTATAAGGCGAACGGTTGCTTCCGCTAAAACTGGCGGGGCCAACGGGGTAACCCCTTTAGAACCGATCATGTTTCGGGTAACGTTGGCTAAGATGGGCCCGTCCTTGGGAGATTTGGGCTTTATTATGAAATAGGTTTTGATGCCTGAATGGGGATTTATTTTTATTTAAATAAAATGCCTTATCAAAATAAAAAATTTTCCCCAACAAAAACATAGCTAACAGCCTAGTGTTCGGTTTGAATTCTAGTAAAAAAAATATTCACTCGAGAAGGGTGTATTGTAAAAATCAATTTCTTGGCCTCATGAGCCATTTCATATATAAAAAAATACAAGACTTAGAAGAGAACACCTAGATCTTCGCCTAAATAATAGTAATGCGATTATCCAAGTCATTCCCAGCAAGGACAAAATTAAAAATGGAAATATTGCATTTAATTTTAAGCATCGAAGTTAAATTATAATAAAGCTTATGAATTTTTTTATAAATATTCATGTGGAAGTTATATGAGAATATTGCGGTAACGAAATATGCTAGCCTACTTAAGTCGATCAGAGGGTGTGGGAGGTAGAACCGAAATATTAACTCGATTAAAAACTAGGAAGAATGGTTCGATAAAATATGAGAAAAAAGGTTCAAAATAGAATAATTGAAAGTTGTAAAGATAAATAATTTTTTATGACACATTTATAGCAAAATTGTATGAATTTACGGGATAGGTAATACGATTTGAAATATACATTGAGAGACCTTTTTTTTAATTTTAAATCTCGATTTTGCTTTAACTAATGTGTAGAATCTACTAAAGCCTTTTGGAACCTATTTTTTTAAATTAGACCTGACCCGAGAAAAATTTTATTTGGTGTTTAAAATACCTTTCATAAAACCGGCCCGAACTTAATTTCAAAACTAATTACATAAAACTTGACTCCTTTCGCGATAAAATTTTGACAATATTCAGTATGCGTAAGCGTAAATTCATAGCCTAATAAAGTCATAATGGTATTATGATAAAAGACCAATCCAAGTTACCTTCTATAATGAAAAAAGATAAAAAAAACCTTCGCGGATTTCGGAAGGTTCGACTTCATATTTGTCACCCAGTGCGTCGAACGTGGTCTGGCTGAGGTGAACGCGTCCAGGCTGGCCGGTTGATTCAAGTTTGTTGGCAAGGGCCACGTCGTTGGACCACACATCGAACTTGAAGCGGCGGGTGCCAACGACACCGCACAGGACCGTGCCTGTATGGATTCCAACTCGCATGTTGACGCTTTGGTTGTTGTCGCGATCGAAGTCGCGTATAGCCCGTATCATGGAGAGACCCATGCGAACGCAACATACAGCGTGATCAGGTCGAGGAGCTGGACATCCCGAGACACAGTAGTAGCAGTCACCGAGAGTGGCAATCTTCTCGCAGCCACAAGCCTCGCATAGATTGTCAAATCGGCCAAACAAGTCGTTGAGTAAAGCTACGAGCCTTGCTGCTGACTTGTGGCTGCTCATCTGGGTGAAGCCGACGATGTCAGCGAAAAGAATACTAACCTGATCCATTTTATTCATCTTGAATGGGCGAAAAATGACGGGGGCACGTGCAGATGGGGGTGTAGGGGAGACTCGAGATCGGTCACCCACGTCTTTATTAGCGGGATCGGCGTCACTATGGGGCTGTGGGCGCAAATGAAACGGGGCGAGGATAGAGTGGCGGGAGGGGAAGCGAGGGCGGTTCGAGCTGGCTCCCTGAGAGTTCTTCTGGTAAGAATTATTCGCGGTGGCGGGAGCCGATTTTCGGGGAATGGCCGAGGAGGATATGTAGCCTTGGAGCTGTTGTTGGTGTAAATGATGATGCCACAGGGGAAAGTTGGAAGACTTACGACGCCTGGAGGACATCTCTTCCTCGTTAGGTTGCATCAGTTCGTCTTAAAGGAGATGTAGGAAGAAACAATTATTCATATATCATAATAGTGGAGATGTATATATATTTTTTCCAAAAAAAAAGTCACATTCCAGTAGTCAAATAAATATGCCATTTAAATAAAATCTTGAGACAAACTATATATCTATTAATGCTATGTTTAAGGGTCATATAATTAACAACTTGAATTTATTATATCTAAATAAAATAAAGCAAAGCAAAGCTCAAACGAACGGAATAATAATCCGAACCTAAAAACAACAAACAAGTCACAAGTTCGAAAACTTCTAACATTCTTAGAAAGAAATTTTTTGTATATAAACAAAATTGCATTTCAATTCAGTTTTCATTTCAAGTTATCGGCTGGGAAGAATATATTATTTTTTGATATCACGATAAATTATTAGTTCGGAGACGAGGGAAGGAGAAGAAAAAAAAATATATATAAAAAAAATTAAATATTTTAAATTGCATTGAAGGTCGTTAGACAAAAAAATGAATAAGTATAAATCTTATTAATTTATTTATTTTTTTAAAAAAAATTTCTTTTGATAATCAAATCATATTTTTAAAAATAAATAAAATGAGTGAGGAAAAAAGGAACCAATATAACCTTGGGTGGGGGAGGGGGGGGGGCCCTGCAAACTTTTTAGGGAATATTTTAGATGACTGACATAGTCGCGAAATATTTTTGCATTGTATTTGATCAAGAACAAAGAGAAAAATTATCCTTTTCCCCCTATGTATAAAAAATGATTTATTATATTTTAGATATCTATCAAATAATTCAGTTTAAAGCGCAAACCAGGAGAGTCGTTAATTATGCGCTAAGGTGATGAGGCGCCCTTTGTTCTCGCTATGCAATACTATAAGTCCAAGGTACGTGACATAGAGCTTTTGCATATTAGCTCGGGCCTCATTGTAAAAGTAGTTTTGAGATAGTAATCATAAACCTACGTGAAGGAATCTTTAAAGTCAATTACCTGAAGTCGCCCTAACACAGCCTCTTCAGATATTATTAGAATTTTTTTGTTAACTGAAATCCACTTTTTAGGGTTCCCTTTAAAATAAAGTGTTGCACCGCGCCTGTCTCGAACCACTTATACGCGAATATATTTTAGAAAAATGCAGAAAAATTGTATTCTTTAATATTCGGTATTAATTAAAGGGGCATCTTCTCTGGTCAGCAAGATCAGTTTATGGCTGGATTTCTCCTATTTTAAATTAAAATTTTATTTAACCAAAATAATACGAAAGCCTCGAGATTTCGTTAACAGATGTCCAAACCTTTCTGCCATCTACGAGTAAAATCTCCAAGCTTGTGTAATATTGAGTTCAGTTTATAAAAAGTCAAGCAGTTTAACAATACTACCCGTATCTTCATTTATGAGATGTCGTTCATTCGTTTATAAAAAAAACTATCTTCCCGGAAACAATTTTTCATATTTATTTCAAATTATAATATAATTTTTTTTAAAAATGGTAACCTTGACATTAACGACTGCGAAAAAAAATATTAATTTTTCTATTTTTAAATCATTTCTCTTTCATATTTTGCTTATTAAATGTAATATAGTTTTAATTATTATTACATAATTAATATATAATATAATATCTAGTTGCCAGATAAATTTATTAAAAAATTAGCAAAAAAATAGGTTAAAATTTTTATAAGAAGGTATTCTATATTAGTAGTAGATAATAAATACCCCTGGGGAGAGGGTTATTTTCGATAATTTTTTTGTAAAATATTAGTGTAAGAGGATTTCTTTTTCCCATTGAATTATCTTATTATGAAAATGAAACTAGGTTGTGGTATCTTATATGCACTCATTTAATATTTTTATCTTAACATCCGGGTTAAAATATCTGGTACCTTGAGACAAGATAGCAGACTGAAAAAAATAATTTCCATTTCGCTAAAATGAATATGTGTAATTTTTTTTTAAAATTATAATTTAATTAATTTTAATGAAATTAAAAAAATGTCTATAATATATATTTGTAGAAATTTATATATCGGATATAAAATAACAGAAGTTTTATTATATATTTATAATATATAATCATAATTAGTGAGTGTTGTAAGGCTACTCAATATTATAGCCAAAAAATATTGCCTAAGCTTCGAGATTCAGCTAATAGATGTCCAAACCTTTGTGCAATCTATAAGTAAAATCTAAAGGCTTGCGTAATACTTTTCTGGATAAAATATTGAGTTGGCCGTTTTTAAGAATAGACTGAAATTGAGTAAATAAGAATTATGATAAAAAAAATATATAAAAAAAGAAAATGGTTAAAAACTGACTTAAAATTCTAAATAAATCATTTTTATAAAATTCGGCGTGAGTAAAGGCAAAGCTAGAATATATAATTTCGCTGAAAAGCCAATGCAAGTATAGTTACAGGCTTGGGAAAGGTCGTTAGAACAAGGTATTATGAGAATACCATCTGGTGTTTTTTAAAAATATCATTGATGAGACCTACTAGTTCAAAGGTGAAGTGTATGTTAACCTTTTTGAAAGCTTACAATATAATATTGTTGATTGAATTGTGGCAAGGTTGACGTCTGCGAAAATATTTGCAATAGATTGTGATGCTCTTTAATATCGATTATTTTCCCATACTCAACGCCATAAGATAGTGTTTCTATTATAGCCTAGGCAGAGTGCGATTCTAAATTATTGTGCCGAGAGGAGCAACCCGAGGTTGAAACTGGGTACTACCTTAAATCATTCATGGTCAGCTTTAGCTTTAGAATAAAAATTATCGAGTTGGGGTTGACCTCAAGGTGACGGTTCACCAAGAGGTAATCAAACGTGCAATAAGCGGAAAACCTGTCTTTTTAGGAAGAAGTTGACCTGATATAAGATGTTGGGAGTTTCTAACCCACAGTGTCGAGGGCAAAAATTTAGTAGATACATGATATACCATATAGTTATCTTGCAAGATAATTAACATATAATTTGACGATTCATTCATTCAAATGTGTATCAATACAAATCAGTTGATGGCACGCCATTTTAGTTTCCCATAAAAATATATATTAAAATTTTATGAAAACATTTTTTAATCAGAGTTTCATTTATAATGAAAAAAATTATACAGGAAACCAAAATAACTGTCACCAGCTGATTTGTTTTCAAAGACACTTTAAACACGATTTGTTTAAATGGTAATAGCCGAGACCTGCAGACCCGGATACACGGGCTGGACCGTATTTTAATTTTTTTAAAAATACCTGGGTTGGGCCCCGTGCAGGTCTCTGGGAAATAACATGTACTAGAAAAAGGGTATATTAAAAAAATAATAAAATGAAACAGACTCTGAGTCAGCCATCTTTTACATTTTAGACATGAACATAGTTATGCACACAGATCTGCAAGACAAAATTTTTTTAGACCCAACCATATCTAAGAAGATAAGCATTTTCAACCCGACCTAACCCGAAATAAAAATTAATTATATAAATCGAGGCAACCCATTTAGAATTTAGGGTTGGGTTGTGCAAACTTTTACCTCACATCGTTCCTTCAAGTAATCTCAATTTCTCTCTCTCTCTAAGCCGTAATCCCTCTTTCCTGATTATCAAAGGCGACGAAGGCGACGAAGGCAACAAAAACTAATTCCTCCGCGGCACGTAAAGAGCATCGGATAAAAGAAGCGGTTAAAATTTATAAAAATACTATTAAAAAAATTAAGCTAATAGTAAAAATCGAAAAATATATCCCCCCCCCCCTCCCAGGAATAAATAATTAGTTTAAACTGCTGAAAGGAAAAGAATCGTTTAATTTTTTTCGAGTAATTTTGTAATAAAAATTTAATAGTTTTTTATATATATTTTTTTCTAATTAAAGATTTAAAATAAAAATAGTAAATAAACTTTCAGTGCGATTTAAATTGCGTCGAAGTTTAAATTCTTCTTTCGGTTTTTTTCTTATTCTTTTGTAAACTTGCAAGGTTCCTAATATGACCGCTTTTAGAAATAACCCCTAAGGCGTTCCGGATCAAAATAATCATCGCTAAATTTTAATTTATAAAAAATTACTTTGCTCCTGAGACGACAACGTGCGCAAAATATTTTTGCGGGTTGGGCCAAAATTCCTCATTTTTTTATAAACTATGTCGTTTTTTTCTTGATAAAAAATTATTAATTTGTCCGAATTTTTCAAAAATCTCCACGGATCGATTCGAGCCGTGCCAACCGATCTCTACGTCAAAGGGTAGGGCAAAAACTCCGTATAAAAAGTGATTTATAAATTACATTAGACGAAGAATTTATTCATTAAAATTTATTGAAAAGTGCGAATATATTCAAGTCCGCTATCGAAAGGCATTTAGAGAAAATGTGAAATGACGTATGGTACGGTTAATGGCATTCACTATAGCGCTGACTTTATAAGTATTTTAATAGATAAAGAGGCAGTATAGGTTTGTATCAATGTCTTTTGACAGTGTTGTTAAACGGCCCACTTTAGCTAAAACAATATTATGATGCAAACATCGAGATTTGATAAACAAATCTTTCTACCATTTATGAGTAAAATCTCCAGGCCTACATAATATAATTTTGGCTAAGATCTTAATCGGGCCTTTTAGCAACACTATCATTTGATTCACCTCTTGGAGATGCTTAATTTCGGGAAAGGCAAATGGAGTGGAAGGGCTCACCAAAAATATCAAATTTAGGTAGGTGGTTTTTTTCTTAAAAAATAACCTAATCAATCATTTTAAATAGTGTTTTTTATTAATAAATATTTAAAAATAATTTTTTAATAAAAAAATATCGATATTTTTTTTAAAAAAAAGAAATGTTTTATGAAAAATAAGGGAAATTGGAGGGAAGGAAGGGGAGAGAGAAAACCTAAAAATATCGATATTTAAAAGTATGTTATTAGGATAAATAAGGAAAATTTGTGGGAAGGAAGGGAATAGTAATAAATTATGGAACAATGTATTCGAACTTAAGGGGTAGAGAGGTGGGCAAGATGAAACTGTAAAAATAAATGAAGGATATTATCCGAACCGAGAAGCACAAGGAGTAAGGGTGCGAGATGGAAGGGGCGATGAGGAAGATGATTAAAAAGGTATAATTTAAATTTTATATGAATAATTAAATCTAGTCTATGTTTTTTAGAAGAAAATAAATCGATTTAGAAAATGAAAATCAATAAATTAATGTTTTCTTAAAAAAGTTACTATATTTTGCAAATATTATAGGCAGTTGAGGAGAGGGGGAGGGGTCGATTTAAATAAGCTAAATTTAAACCTATCGTTTATTAGCTTTTTAAAAGAAACGGTCAACCCACTAGAGCCCCACATCGGGTGCAGTCCGGATTCAGAAGGGACTAGGTGGATCTAACTTTTAAATTCTGATCTTTTAACCCCAGGTAGACATGATTTTATTTTTGAAACTTTTGAAACTATTTTTTTTAATTAAAATTACAAGCAATATTTGCATTTTTTCAAATTATACCATTTTATTTTCCTCGTGCTTTCAAATTTATCTTTTAAAATTTTGAATTTCCTATATATTTCTGGTAATAATATTTACAGTTTGAGGCAAAATATTTTGAACCCTTTTTTAAAGGTCCTATTTTGCCCAAGATTATAATATGTCCCGAATCTGCAATATGCTAAGTCCGTAAAGGTGACAAAAAATGGGTCCCATCGGGCATCGAATCACCAACTCTATGCTTTACTTGACAACCCCCAACACACTGACGCACTAGCTCTTATGTCCTTAGCTCGGCCACCAAAAAATTGAAGTTTTTCTTTGTTATAGAAAAAACCATAAATTTTGATTAATCGATTTTAAAAAAACCCTCAAAATATATTTAAGACATGTTGCTCACACGGCCCGGCAAATATTTTGGGCAAGTTGCATCCGACCGGAGGTTTTATGACCCATAACTCGGCCCATCCCCAGGCTTATAGGGTCTATCTCTAACGTCTAACCCTGAATTCACAGTTAGCGCGAATTCGAGGCGAAGCAGGGTAAAGTGTAACATTTAAAAGCTCCTTCAAAGGTTTGAACTGATTACAACTTACAAAGGTAAAATGCTATAAATAGCCAAGTTTAGGGATAAAATAAATGGTTAATTTTTAATTTTACAAAGTACAAGATTAATTTTTTTAAATTACTTTACTTATCATAATTATTTTGGTAAAATATAGTAAAAATTATATGTTCTATGGGAGAGGGGGGGAGGGGGGGGGGGGTAAATAAATTAGATTCTGAATAAAAGGAAAACCTGTAAAAAGTAACCAATTTTTGAGATTATAATCAATCACATAGGTCTTATTTTTTATTCTTAAACTATTAACTTTTCAAGGAGTCAAGGGAGAGAGATCATTCTAGCCTCCGTTAAAAAAGGAATAGTTGCGGGAGGGGGGGGGGGGTCTTAAACAGTGTTTATTGTAGATTTTTCCCAAATATAAAAAATTCATCGATAACGAACTTATATTTTTTAAATGTAACTTGAATTTTTTTTAATATTTAATTTATCGTGTTATAAAACAAAAATTATAATATTATTTTATGTTCTTTCTGTCTCTTTCTTTCCTATGTGTGTCTTTGCGTGTATAATCTATAAGGGAGGGATATTTACAATTTGGGTCCAAGTTTTATTACACCCTTTTTTTTAAATATAATATTAACCTTCTAGAGGTCAGTTTGCAAAGAGCAGGCCAAAAATTTTAAAAATTTAGCCGATGGGTAAAAAATATTTTTTAAATAATGTGCGGAAGGGCGGGCGAATTCATAGGGAAGAATGGGAAGAGGGGGGATTATGTTTGCTAAGGATTATTATTTTTATTTCATAATATTGTGTTTTTTATAAAAGCTTTAAGTAAAAATATGTTAAAATAAGTTAAAGAGCCAAACCAACCAACCAAATTTTAAATATTGAGCAGGCGGTTTAAACACATATAAAATTGTGTGGGTGAATATTTTTTAAAAACCATGAGCGAGCGCGCATTTGGTCGTATATTTTTAACTATTTCTCTAACCATTAGTAAACTATTGGCTTCAGAAAAAAAATATAGAATGGATCCCGTCATAAATGGTATGGCCCGCCCTTCGCATCACTTAAGATCACCCTATCTCTCAACCAACTGACCCACATCTACAGCTGTCATCACATTGATCGAAAATGAGAGATAAATCACTTATTGGGAAACCCGAATATATAATTGTTTTTTTACCAGCCACGGTTGGGGGCATGACGGAATGTATGATTTTCTCCTTGAGCTTTCTTTCGAGTTCCAGACTCTTTTTGGCTATCAGGGATTGTCCTATCTGCCAGAAGGTGCTGTGCAATCGCACCTGACTCATCAGAAATATGTGTATCCCGAGGATATGCAAGCAAAAGTGGAGGAGAACCTCGAATCCGACAAGCTTGAGTACGTTATTCCCCTCATGCTTATAAAATATAATGCAAAGAAAAACAACAGGTATCTCTGCACATGATGTGATTAATATTTTATTTTTACTTTTAAAAAATCTAATTTGTAAACAACATAAGGGAAGCAAACCTCGTTTATTATAGTTTTATTTAATTTATTATTAATGGGTAAAAACATATATTACTGTGGGTCGTATCATATTTTGTGACCTCTCGAGGTCCCTATATCAGTAAAATAATAGCCCCCCCCCCAATACTGGTTTTTGTTGGACCTTTGAAGAAGGCTTTCTAACATAAGTGGAGTGGAAAATATAATAGGTAACCTCAGGGGATTATGTTCTTAATCAAGATACATAGTCAGTATAAGTAATCATCTTACAATAGAATTATTTCCTATTTTAGTCATCAGGGGGGTTTCAGCGCCATATTGACTTAGAGGTGGAGGGCTCTGTTTCTGAATAAATTTATTCAAAAGTTATAAAAAAAAGCCATATGAAATGATTATATATAAATTTTACCGGTCTTCGAAAAGTGAAATCACCGTTGTCACTGAGACGCAGTGCCGAGAGCGTTATAAATATAGCCGAGTAGAGCAGGGCCAAAGAAAGCGTAAATACCAGTGGGGCGTTCGTGAATGTGTACACGAGGACGATGACCTGTAGCGAAGTGGCAAAGTTGGCAAAAAAGCTAAGGCCTGAATTTGGTGAGAGGGCAGAGAGATATAAAAACGACGCTGTACTTTGGCGGGTAAAAATGACCAAACTGAGCAAACAGAGGAGCAACGACCATAGCACAGACAGGTGGGCGTAGTAACGGTCGTATAGGGTAGTAAACGTAAGTCCGTAAGTGCATAGCGCCAGGAGGAGCAAAGCCCCGCACCCGGCGATCATTTCCTGTCTCAAGGAGGGAAATGCGACGACGCCCAGATATATGGCCCATACTAGGGCTGACACAGACACGAACCCGAGAACTATTCGAAGCTGGCGTTTTACCTGGGGAATCGAGGTTTTGCGAAGTTGGTTTTCCAGCACGTCCGAATCGAAGCGCGGATTCCACCATGAAGGCGACGCCCGTTCGAATAACTGGGGGACGCGAGCACGGCGACAGCAAGGGCAATGAGGCTCGCTCATAAAGGAGTCCCGGTGTAGATTGCCGTTGCGGTGGATAGAGCAAATGGGCCAACACAGTGTATCAGTGTTGGGTGAGCTGCTCGGAGAAAGTTGGGCCCGAGGTAAGGTGGTGGTCGCGTAGGGGTTATTCTCAAGCTCATCCTTGAGTCGCACAACAGTGTCGTAATAAGGATGAGCCTGGTCAAATTTATTTACTTCCCCCGTGCTTCGAGCTTCCATCCCAGGGGTTCCTCGTTCTAAAATTTGATCAGAACGGTCGGACTCTGGGTAAATGGGGCGCATAGATCTGCGCAAGTTTCCTAGACATTGTTCCTTAAACCTCTTCAATCTCTTTTGAGGTGGCAAAGGTGATTGCTCCATATTAGTGGACGGGTAACGGTGTTCGAAATCTTGGAGCGCAAAACTGGGGTTGTGGTTTTTTGCTTTGATCTGGCCTGAATCTAGCCCGGCAAATACCTGGTCGCTCAACAGCTGGTCATTCTCCATATCTCGAAGCTCAAATCATTTTTCGTGTAATTCATGGGGAAAACGTTGATACCGGCACATAACGGAGTAGATTCGTGCGTACGTAATTAACGTGAATATATAGAGGCGAGGATATATCCTTGTTAGGGTAAAGGTTACTTTACGGGGTTATTTTGATTGGCTTGATTCGACTGAAACTTTCTGTGAACAATATCGAGAGAATATTTTATATAAAAAAGGATAAACCTACAAAAATAATTAAGTCTAGTTTTTTGTTAAAGGACCAATCAAGGTGAGGCGAAATCCAAAAAACAAAACAAAAAGGCCATTTTTATATTAAAAATCCAAAAAAATCCATTTCCTACCAATTTAAAAAATAAATAAATAAAATAATGCAAATCTTCGGGGTAAAATAATTCTTTTGGGGCCATCCATTAATTTTTTTTTAAATATTTATTAATATGTGATACATAGTATAAACCGCGGTGTCCAAGATTTTTGCCCAATTTGTTAAAATAATTTCTAAAATACACCGTGGTTAATAAGATTTTGATTGGGACTCAAACTTTTAGTCAAATTAGGAAGTTTGAATTACAAAGTGCCCAAATTATGCAAGTTTTAGTGAAATAATAAATAACCCGAATGTATTTTTAATATTATTCATTAAGAATTTTTAAAATTTATTTTATCGATTTGGTACTTAGGTTTAAATTTCCTCTTATTTATTAATAAATATTTAATGTAAATAAATATTATAAATAACGAATTATTAATATATTGTTTTTTATAAAATAAAACTTGTCAAATTTGGGCTTAAGTCTCAATCAAAATTCCTATAAATCATTATGCATTAGAAAATGCTTCATTGGTCAACTGTCTAAGTTGGGCAAAAATCTTGTAACGAACGGTGTGCCCACATTACACTCAAATTAGACAGGTTTTACTGTATACAAATAAATATATCTAAATTTAAGAATCATATTTGTATTCTGGAATATTTGATATTGATTTGCCACACAAAAAAAATAAAGATAAAATAAACAATTTAATAAAATTTAAAAATATTATTTAAAAAGGTTGTTAAAAAGCCTGCCGAAATAATATTATGTAAGCCTCGATTTTAGCAAATAGAGATCCAAATCTTTCTGCCATCTATGAGTAAGATCTCCAAGTTTACATAATATTATTTTGGCTAATATCTTGAGCGGGTTCGCTATGGACTCGAATCGACAATCTCAACACAACCCTAGATACTAGAACTCCTATGGGTTGGGAATGAGAGACTGATGTATATCCTAATATTTTATCTGACCCCACCCTCCTAAGTTAAAAGCATTCAGTAAGCGCGATAACCCAAAAATAGAATTATTGTTAGTGATAATACAGAAATAATATTAGATGTGGCAGCTTCTTCAGCTCCTATAAAAGAAAAGAAAGTTTTTCCTTCTAGGCTCAATCCAATTTAAATTTGGAAACAAGTTCAGGCTAGAAAAAAGCTGAAAATTAGTTTTTAATTTTAAAATACTTTGATTTAAATTTGGTATTGTTTAAGTTCTTATTTATAAAGAAATACTAAATTAAGATCAAAATTGATGAAAAATATTTTGCATAGAAAAAGTCAGTAAATAACTAACGCGTCGTCGCCTGAGAATTAATTATTTTATATCCATTTTTTGTCAAAAATGACTTACATAAATCAATTTTTTTAAATTATACCATCTATTTATATTAAAAAATTTGAAATATTTATAAAATATCTCTAATTAAATCCGATACAAAGGTTAAGTATCTTATTAAAAACAAAGGAAACATAATTTTTTAATATTCTCCTGTAAAATTTAAAAAAACATATTAGTAGAATATTCTAATTCTCAAGCGGCGATTACTAAACTGTTAAAATACTATTCAAAAGGTAATGTATTTCAACATCCTGGCTCTACCTGGCAATTAATTTTCAAAAAGATATCGCTGTCAAAGTTTGGGTAAAAGCAGGATTGTGTAATGCCCGGCCAAATAGGAATTGGCCAATTAACTGTTATTGACAGATTAAATTCAAATATATGTTTTTTAAGACAATATTAATTATTTTTTATATAATATTAAAAGTATAATATTTTTTAAATTCATTAATAACTAATATTTCGCTCTACGTGGCAGAGTTTTGTTCTGCTTCATATTCAATATTATCATTTTCGTTAATATTTTATAATCAATTTTACTATTGTCGAGATCTTCTGATTTGTTTTAGTAAGAATATTAATCCAAATTACAAATTCCTCTCTGAAGAAGAAGTAGAAATAGGAGTTGTTAGTAAAATGTCACTTCTATTAATGGGCATAATGAGCAAAGCGCATTCCACTAACTTGAGGTCCGAATCTGATTGTTTCTTATGGAAATTACTGCTTTCCACATAATTTCCTATTAAACTGGTCGTTTTTACTTCTGAAATTTATTATACATTAGAAATATTTTGATCATCGTTACTTTGTAAAATGCGTAATTCTTGTATTATATTATATACTTCATTAAATTTAATACTAGTGAGTGAGATACTCCCCATGATATTAAAAATCCAATAAATGAGCAGCATTGTGATCATATTTATATCGTTTTTTCTTTTTTCAAGCATATTTTTAATTTAATTTTCTTCCGATTTTTAAAACATTTGACCAGGTCAAATACTCCACCGCGGTCAATTGACAGACTTGCCAACCCTAGGTAAATGTAAATTAACAATAATTTTTAAAAAATAATGTTTTTATATAATAAATTTTTATAAAATTATTGTAAATTTAAATAGGTGTGGTGAGAATTTTTCTGTATGGGGAGTATAGTTGAGTAATGGCTAAATATGGGCTATTTTGGCTCAATCTTCAAGAGCTTGCGGGAGAAAATCCGTTAACATTAATGCGTTTTAATTTTTATTAGTTTCTTTCAAATTTGAGCTGCTATTTTTTTTATCTTTTTAAAAAAACCCCGAGGCCAAAGTGATAGTTATCGGCAAATTGGTTTCACCGATTAAAAATATAGTATTTACCCAACTATAGTGGGAATCAGGAAGATTGGGTGGCTTTCCATGTATATCAGGCCCCTTATAACAAATCTTTTCTTTGATTATATGACATTATTGTACTCATTTAGGGGTAAGGGGAACAAGGATGGAGTGTAGGGGAATAACATTTATAGGTTTATAATTATATCTACAAAAACTTGAAAATCCCAAGAGTTGGACGTCTCCGTGTTTCTCCATTTGGCGTCAATAGTTTTATATAAAACTTATCAATTTCTAAAGTTTAAAAAAATTTGAAATAAGTATTGAAAATTTCAGATAAAGCTATCCGATTCAGCGACGAACCTGTTGAAAAAAATGTTAAAATTTGATATCTAAAAAGAAAACCTTTTTCTTTAAAAAATAACCCACGGATTAGTGTTGTTAACCGGTTCGATTTTTAAAAACGGCTAGCCCAATATTTTAGCCGAAAAATATTATGTAAACCTAGTGATAATACTCATAGATGGCATAGAAATTTGGACATCTATTACCGCAATCTCGATGCTTGCGTAATATGACTAAAATTCAGGGATGTGAACCCGAACCCCTCCCGAACCCTCGTATTTTGTCTATACTCGAACCCGAACCCTTTTAAAAGGTGGAGACCCAAGGGTTCTAGGTGTCATAAAAAAAATTTAAAAATAGAAATATTTTTTTAAAAAATAATATAATTCGCGGAATCATTTATTTTATCTTCGCGTTTTTCTTTAAATTTTCTTCCTCTACTTCCATTTTATTTAGAGATTGATATCATAAATTATTTTCTAGTGTAGGTGATAATATTTTATTATGTAAATTTATTAATAGATTTCCCCACAAATATATAATGCATCAGATGTGCAGCCTATAATCTACAATTGGCTATTAATGACTGCCTAAAAAATAATCACTTTAAAACTATCATTATTTAAGATAGAGACCTGCAAAGTTAGGCCCGCCCGAGTCCGGCCCAATCGGGCTTCGGGCCGGGCCTAATTCTATTTAAAATAATCGGGTTCGGGCCGGGTCGGCCATATATTTTTAAAAAAATACGGGCTGGGTCGGGTCGGATCTTGGAAATTTTTTAAAATATATCTAAATTTATCAATTTTATATTGAATTTTTTATGTAATAAAAATATTTGATTTTATTTATTGAAACTAAACGACATATAACATGTGTTTTATTTTGAGTAATTATAAAGATTAATTTCTATATTTAAAAAAATTTCAGGCCGGGCTTGAATAATTAGGCCCGATGCAGATCACTAATCTAAGAACTCTCACAAGTAAGAATATTAAAATCAATGAAAAGTTCAATGACAATATTAGATTGCACAACACGTTGATCCTCAATTTAAATGATGCTAGAACGATTAAGTTTGAAAGATTTCTGTAATGATTTTATTATAGGAGCATGTGAAGTTATTTTTTCGAAAGATGATTGGTGCCAAATAAAGGACCTAGTGTATTAGTTCCTTTAAAAATAACAACATTAAGATTACGATCAGAACAATTATGTTTATCTGATTTTTATGGTATATGGATTAGATGTCGATTAGATTTAGCTCGCTAGCACACCTGGTTCCCGAAATATGGGGGCTCAAGGGTGCAAAAAAGAGCCACTTTGGAATCTATAAAATTTTTAAATGCTTATATCTCAAAAACTATTTATAGTAAAATAATATAATATATCAAATTGTAGGTAAAAAAAATCTCTAAAGATCTATTAAAAAACAATTAAAATTGGCGCCAATTTGAACCGTTAACTTCCGGTTTAACTATTTTGCTTTAACTGTGCTTTTAAGCAAAAAAGGGAGTTTGTTTTAGAAATTTTTTTATTGCTTTTTTTTAGACACCTTCGCTAAATATATATATACGATATCAAAATTTTGGCGTCGCTATCGACTCCAAAAATTGATGAAAAAAATAGATGTAATGTTAAAATTTTGCTGCTAACTTATCAATAACCGAATATTTTCACTTTTTATACTAAAAAATTTTGAATTTCTATTAAATATACTAATTAAACTGAGGAGCAAAGTGGGCAAATGCCCATTAGACACTTAATAATGTAACAAATTTCCATTAATAAATATCTTTCATATAATTTTTTTTAATTTTTAAGGTATCTAGAAATTCTTCGAATTTTTAAATCATTTGATGAAGAT